TGGTGGCTTCTCACAGAACCACCCCTGTAGCCCCTCCTCTGCTACCAAAACCTTGCCACACAAACCCAATACAGGGCCATGGCCCTGCGGGGAAGGCTCCAACCTTTCTTGTACTTTCAAATGTTAGAACTGAAAGTCAGAAAGTACTTACAGTGCTTATTAGTGGTTTCCAGGCCCATACTAACTTGCAGGGTGCTCCATCCTCTGTGGAGTTTGTGAACCAAATGGCAGTCGAGACTGAAGTTTTTCAGTGAGAAGAATTTGTGGGATTTATGAAGAACAGCAGCATTTAAGTCAGCATGGGACAAATCACTCCTCACCCAAGCACATTACTTTTCTCTTTATCAGTGCATGTTTCCTGTCTTACTTTGGGTGCAACTCTGCACTGCAGTCACTTGAAAAGAGACACGTTGATGTAGCAGCATCCACAGGTTGCATGTGGTCCTCTACCTACCCTAGTGTCCTGACTGAATTGTGCCTCAGCTGCTCAAGCATGAAGGGAAGTTCTCCTCAGAAGTATCCGCTTTTCTACCATTGTGTTTCCTGCAGAGTCTCCTTCCATTTGACCAGTATGTTCTCCCAGAATTTCTGCCTCTGAACGATCCATGCCCAGTGATAGCCTAGGGGTTTGCTCACAGTTGAGGATGCCTGCAGGCTCATGTGTCAGCAGAGACCTGAGGAGCTCTGACTGAGCTGATCGCAGCCAGCTACACAGCCTGGTTTGTGGAAGAGCCTTTCTCCACCACTGGTGATATCAGCCTCTATCTTAGTGCCTGGTATTATAGCTGCAGGAGTTATGAAAACATTTCTGGAACCATTTCCTCTGCTTTTAGGCTCACTAACATTCCTTCGGCAATACTCTTGGTGCCAGCAAATGCTGTTGCTGCTGGGTCTGTGCCATCCCTGAAGCACAGACAGCCTAGTGCTGGGGACTGCTGGACAGGACTTCGGTCTCCTGGCACAGGAGACTGATCTTGGGGCTTTCTCCAGAGGGGAACAGCACTTCTCTCATGAGAGCCAGTACCGGTCCAGACTCTTTTACCTCTCCTATGCGGGGGTAAGAGCTACTCAGTTGGGAGAGAGAGGCTGCACCGGGATCTTGTCTGAGTTTAGGAGCCCTTGCAGCACTGTGATCTCAAGCAGAGGCTACTGTTTGAAGAAGCCAGGTTCCCTCATAACCGAACATCAGAGCAAAATTCTGAAGTAGTGGTGTTGAGTCATAGCCTTCTCCCATATTTCTTATTGGGAAAGACTGTTCTAGTAGGCTGAGAGGAACTGCTTGTAGTTTAAGTGCTCTTCAGTATAGATATTTGTGCTTGAGAAAGAGGTACGGATATTGCTAGAGCAAGAGAATGCCCTTCTTTATGTGTCTGAGGCAAACAGTTGACCCAAAGGAAGTGAAGCACGTCGCCTGGACAGCTCAGAGTACCCCAACATCTACCATAAATCTCCAGGGACACACACTGGAGACCTGCGCTGAGTAGTGGGTATACACAAACCTATGTCAGGTGTGAGATACTGGAGTCCAGCTGTTCTCTTCCCAAATTTCTTTCAGCTATTAACCTTACTTATTGTTGTCTTTAATGTTCTTATTTCCGAAACGGCCATCCTTACTGAATCTTGTTGCTTAAACAACTCAAACATGAGTAAACAGAATTCAAAGCTCAAGCTACTACATTGCTGCTGTCATTCCACAACTAAAAAGCACCAAAATAGGTACAAGAAAAAGAGGAATATATAAAATCTTCAACGGTGGCACATAAAATATAACTTTTCTTCAGACTACCTTTTTTTGGCAGGGGCTCACTTTTGGCACCAGCCTTTCACCCCCAAAAGATATCTTCTGTAAATTTACTGTATTGTTTATACAATTTATACAATACCATGTATTGAATAATCTAGAGAACGGATGCAGTGTAAATCTTTCCAGACCTTGAGGGTTGCACTAAAATTCTTAATCCTTGACACAAGAGTTCAGATTGCACCTCGTTATGTCTTTCCTGGCAGTCAATGTAGGTGCAACAGAAATAGATATTTATTCTGGTCTTGATTCCACTAGGAGTGGGTGATAAGAAATAAGAAATATAACTTCTTGCTTCATCAGCTGCCTTTGAAACTGATGGCTTAGCTATAGAGAGTGCGTGCCAGGAAACAGGAATCCCTTAGAAAGGACTTGCTGTCATGTAACTCCATTAATTTCTAATTTAGTCAGAGTAAAATCATCCTGAGAACTGCACAATGGCATAACTGTCAGCAATAGATTCAATGAAAGCAATACAACTCTTATTTATCGGGCATTACCCTAGTATCTAGGAGTACTTGGCAAGGCTGGGACCTTGCTGCAGGAATGACGAATTTTATGGTAAATTGAAACCATGATGTTAAAACAGTAACTCTTCTTTAGATACAAGCAGCTAACTTCACAGAGGCATATACAATTGCATTAGCATCATGGAAAGAAGTGAATCAAGTTTCTGAAAAAAGGAAGGTAATGGCACTTTATGTACTATGTACGTGAATTAAAGTGACTGTTATTTTTGTCTACTCAGGAAACACAAGACCCTTGCATTAATAAAAGATGGTCGTGTTATCGGTGGTATCTGCTTCCGGATGTTCCCCTCCCAAGGATTTACGGAGATTGTTTTCTGTGCTGTGACTTCCAACGAGCAAGTCAAGGTAAAAATAATTCTCTAGTAGAGTTTATTAAATGTACTTGAGTCCCATTCAGTACTGCATATGCTCCTAATTTTGTTAGTCACTTTGAATGTATTGCTGAGTTGCCAAACGGAGTTTGAAAGATACAGTGATTCTGAATATAATATACAAAAAACTTAAACAAATGTGCAAATTTAGAATCATCAGCATAATAGTAGGATCATTTGTGATTAATTAATTAAATCTTCCTCACCACAACAATAGCAGCCAATAGTCTCCCATTCTTGGACTATTCATTACTCTGCCTCTAGCAACTGTGTCTCTGTGTAGTAACACTTCATGGTTGACTGAAATAAGTATTGCTTGTGTGTGACAGTAATTTGTGTTCAGTCACTTTGTGGCGTGTCCTGGTTTCAGCTGGGATAGGGTTAATTTTCTGCTTAGTAGCTGGTATAGCATGTTTTGGATTTAGTGTGAGAATAATGTTGATAACACACTGATGTTTTAGTTGTTGCTAAGTAGTGCTTACCCTTAGTTAAGGACTTTTTAGTTTTCCATGCTCTGGCAGCAAGGAGATACACAGGAAGCTGGAAGGGAGCACAGCCAGGGCAGCTGACCCCAACCAGCCAAGGGGATATTCCATACCACAGAATGTCATGGCCAGTATAGAAACTGGAGGAGTTGACCAAGAGGGGCCGATTGCTGCTCAAGGATCGCTGCTCGGGTATCAGTCAGCAGGTGGTGAGCAACTGCATTGTGCATCACTTGTCTTTCTTGGGTTTTATTCTTTTGTGATATTCCTTTTCATTGCTATTATATTTTATTAGTAGTGGTATTATATTTTCTTTTACTTTTGTTATTAAACTGTTCTTATCTCAACACATGGGTTTTTACTTTTTTTTCGATTCTCCTCCCCATCCCACTGTGAGGGGGGAGGAGTGAGTGAGCAGCTGCGTGGTGCTTAGTTGCTGGCTGGGGTTAAGCCATAAACTGGCATTACATGACTGCAATCAAAAAGAGATAGATCAAAAAAAATTAGGTATAGTTTTGCATCTCAGAATAAGCACGTGGTTTATTCTATATACTCTTTTTTTTGAGTTAGTATCACAAAGTGTTCTCCAAGTGTTGAGAATTAGCAGCTATGTTGAAAGAATACAGAGCACTGTGAACACCGGAGATTCCTGCCGCTTTCCTGGTGACGGCAGGTGGATCTCGTTATGGCCGTTTGATTCAGGATCTCGCCTTTAGATGGTGCTGTAGCTCCATGTTTTTCAGTTGAATCTGTTAGAGCTGAGATGTGGGTTAATTCAGAGTTTGTAGCAGTTGAACATGCAGAAATGGTGTGCCATTTTGAAGGGAAGAGCTCTGGGTGTAGAAGGGTAACGCAGTGGGATTGAAAGCCTGTGACATCTGTTAGTACTTGGGTTATATTTTATTTTATTCAACTCTGGTGTTAGAGAGGAGCATTCCCCTGCACTTAGCAGTGGCCTGTCATAAAAGTATCCAAAGTGTTTCAGCAAACTGAAACAATAGTGGAATATGCTTATGTCTTAAGCTTGACTAATTCATAAAAGGTGTTTTCATTCTACTAAAACAACGAACTGCACTACACAAGTGAGGCTGCTAAAGGTGTGTTGTGATTCTCTAGGAATAATGTTTCAGAATGTAATAGAGCAGATAAACCTGACCCATCAGAGTGCCTCCTAGGTTGCATATGCACACATAACCCATAATTTCTTCTGTTACCCTCTGGGTGCCTTGCTCTAGCAGTTGACTATTTCTGAAAATTTGCCTTCCCACATTCCTTTCTGAATAAGGTGACGCCTACCAGCAGGAAACTGAGAAAAACGAAATGTTCACACATGAGTGAACTACCTACACTTGGGAAAAATAAATTCCAATTTTATTTGGGGCTGGAGTAAGAAATATGGGTACTTTTTTCCTTTATATGTGATATTGAAAAGTTGGATTGTTTTTGAGACAGTTTGATCCCGTGTTACAAAATTATTTGAAATTTTACTGTACATGACTTAGTTTCCTTTTAAGATTGCTGAACTTTGGCAAGTGTTTGTGAGAATGAATAAATCCTATGAAAGTTAGAAAAACAATAGGTCAGCAGAAAATGTTGAAAGTAATTATCGTAATTGCTGGTATTTCTTTGAGACACAAAGTTGACATTTTTGTCAGAGATTAGATGCTTTAGAATTACTGGAATGAATTGCAACATTTCAGGTGTAAATAAAATGTCACTGTCTCGTATGCTGTTCCTTTCACCCTGCTGATGAGAAGGGAAGTGAGGAGCTTGGCTAGCTCGTGTACTGCTAGCTTGCATTTAAGGAAAACGTTTTTCATTAACAATTTTGGTTTGAGTTTTTGTCCTCTTCAAAGAATTTGAGAACTCAAATTTGCAATTAGAAAGTCTCTTCATTATCTTGAGCACTTCTAAGAAATGCTGTGCCACTTAGCATGTCGTCAGTTGTTAAACCACTTCTTTGTATTTGATGGAGTGCATGATGTGTGCCACTTTAACGGGTGAACTTAAGGCTTTAAGAGCTTCCTCAAATTCAGAAGTACTTATTTTTATACATATGAGGTCTTAATTTCAAATAAGAGGTCTGAATATCAGATGCTCTAAACACTAACTGGAAAGGAAGGACTAATGCACAAATCTTATACCTAGTTTAGTAAGATTTTAAAGAAAATGTGTGACTAAATTTTTTGTATTGAGCTTCGGCACTTGCATAACTTGCTTTTATCTCGCTATTTCCACGTTTGGGGCTATTAAATTATGAATTAAGTCAGAAGTATATATTTTCTAATTTATTTTTCTGGCTTATGTACATAAGCAAAAATTTCCCTAGTTTTCAAGAACAGAGTACCCAAAACAATTCCATGTGTATTTCTGTAAGTGTCCAGTTTATCTCCATGATGTTAAAATTGGAACATATGCAGGAACAACACATTATTATGGGCTTTCCTGTCTATTTTACATTTCTTCATCTCACAGCAGAAGGGGAAGACTATAGCTTACTTGGAAACGTGAATAAATGGAACCTTTTGTTTACTTTGAGGTTGAATGAAAATGGAAATTATTCCTGTGTGCAGTCAGAAGGCATAGCTATTTATTTGATTGTGGACTTAGTAATTTTCTACTGCTTATTATGGTAATAACTGTTTCAGTATTCCCTTTTATGCTCTATGATAAGTTCAGATTTTAAATCCTTTAAGGCAGAAGCTGTTTCTACTACAGGTGCACTGAACATAGTAAAACAGAGATTTTTTGTCTCAGAATGGGTTCCTCTAGAAGCAGTCATTTTGGTATTCCTACTACTTTGCAGTTTTGAAGTGATATGGCGAAGAAAGGATGCCCTATTATTACAATATATGTGATTTTGTTATTGGTGAAATATGTGACTATTGATATCTAACTTAAAAGGAAAAAACCAATGCGTGCACCTTGAATTACAACTTCCAGGACAATGTACCTCTTTAGAGCCACGCTTTACCCCTAGAGAGAGTCTAGGTTTTGGTCTCTTAGTTTAAAACTGAATCAGATGCTAGAAGCTGTGGTATTTTGTGTTCCGTGTTGAGTCACAAAGATACTCTTACAAGGCTGAAAATAGTTCGATCTTAAGTACACCTCACCAGGTTAGTTATGAGAAGATTTTTAAAACAGGATTTAGGGGAAAGACTGCATTTTGAAAAACAGTCTGTAATAACCCTCGGTCTACAGTTTCTAACATGTGCGGTCCCTGAAGGCTTTGTAATGACTTTTTAACTCGTACATTTCACACAGGGTTATGGGACTCACCTAATGAACCATCTGAAGGAGTACCACATCAAACACAACATTCTCAACTTTCTCACCTATGCAGATGAATATGCTATTGGCTACTTCAAAAAACAAGTAAGTCAATGTAAGAAATTACGTGATGCAAGATGTTAACATCTAGCAGTGATGAACTAAACAACTAGATGTGACAAACTAGTTGGATAAAATGCATAGTGCAATATTATGTGTATATTTTTTTTATCTACAAAGCATGCTCTGTGTTCATCCTGTGTAATGATAAGGGCTTATAATGTATTTTACTTTGGTGGAATCATCTGAATATCGGTGTGTGGTATACCCTATAATTTGTCAAGTCTAAAAACCAGTCGAATATGGATTGGCTGCTTCTTCATTCTTTCAATTCCTTTACTGATTCTATAAGAAGTGTAAAGAAGGACCAGACATACCTGCGGCGGACTAGAACTTACCTGACCTATGCTCACAGCTCCTCCTGGTTTGAAGCATGAGGTTCAAGTTCAGGAAAGATGTCCAATCTGTCAAATAGATTTGATAGATTAAACAAGTGTCAACTATCTGATCAGATGACAGAGTGAAGATGGAGTCAAACTATTCTCAGATGTACAGCAGTAGGACTAGAGGCAACGGGCACAAGTTGGATCATGGGAATTTGCAACTAGATAGAAGGAAATTTTTTTTTTTTTCCTTCCTGTTCTAAGGGTGGTGAAATACTGGAAGATGTTGCCTGGAGAGGTTGTGGAATCTCTGTCCTTGGCAGAGCCTTGAGCAACCAGATCTGCTGAGACCTGCTCTGAGCAGGCATGGGGCTAGATGACCTCCTTAAGTCCCTTCCAGCCTCAACTGTTCTGTGATTCTGTATATAAAACTGATACAATTCACTCTTCACACATTCAGAATGAATAAAAGCTGAGCTTCTGATACAGCTATTAGATCTGTGTAGACAGATCCTTTTCACATCTGAAATGTCCCTTCCCAATTTGAAGGTGCTCAGTCTCCATCTAAGTCTGAAGCCTTTAATGGTAAATTGTGAGGCTGAAGTCCTGCTTGGGTTCCTGTGGTTTTTTTGCTGAGATTTCATAGATACCACTGTAAGAGAAGGATAAAATGCAGCCAAAGTGAGAGTCCTACACTGCATTTTAATGTCTTGGTTAATTCTTTTGTGGGTTTGTTTTTCAATTAACTTTTGAACTGTATGAAGACTGTAGTGTAACTTTGGAATTTTTAATAGGATTTATTGCCTTATTTTTTCACTTGAAATACAAAAATAAAAAAAAAATCGTTGCTTTTTCTGGCTATAAAATTACTGTAGTCTCATTGACTTCAGCAATTTTCCTTGACTAATGACTACAGGACTGGCATCCTTTAATATTAAAATAGCGAATTTTTGGAAAAATCCAGGAAATTTGTCCACAGTAGAAATCTGTTCCTCCGTCTCTTTATCTCTTCTATTTCCCTTCTTTTCCTATACATATAAGCAATTAACTATTCTTGTATCAAGTGACTCCCGTGAGAAGATGTTTGCAACACTATGAACCATGGTCTGTAACTCTTTCCATTGTATTGTCTGTATTTTAACGTTATGATGAATTTGGTTCTAAATCATGACAGCATTTCAATTAAAACAAATGTAAAAGGAAAATGGCATCGTGACAACTTGAGTTTTTTTCTTTTTCAGGGTTTCTCCAAAGATATTAAAGTACCAAAAGCAAAATATGTTGGCTACATCAAGGATTATGAGGGTGCCACATTAATGGGATGTGAATTAAATCCAAGGATTCCCGACACGGAATTTTCTGTCATCATTAAAAAGCAAAAAGAGGTAAAAGCTGAAATGAAACACTGAACATTATAATCTGTTCAGGTGTTTAGAAACAATTCAGTCAGTGCCAGGTTAGCTCTCTGCTTCGATGCTTAAAACATTGGAATGTCTACTTTTGTTAGAATAATTCTTTCACTCAAGTCCCAGTGCCATAATTTTGCAGTTGAAGCATTAAATTCTACCTTACTAACTTTACGATAACAGAAATGTCAAAAAGTACTGATATTTTGAGGAGTATTTCATAGCTAAATATTGTCATAGATGGTAACTAAGCAAAATCCTATGAGATCGATTTGTTCTGCAGCTTTGTAAATTTTTTTCTTCGCCCATCCCTCCCACCCCCTCCCTGACAGTAGTGTTCATTAGAATGACTTTTGAATGGAGTCTTTGTACTGCATGTCCTGTATTTTACTTGAAAGAAAGAGGTTTATTTTTTCTGCCAGTGTTTTAGTATGCAAATCAAGGGTGGGCTGTCTTAAATTCCAGGCTGTCCCTCTTTGGAGTTTATGTAGACTGTTCTTTACTTAGTCCATAGTAATATTTCATATAATAAGGCTGTTTATTAGCAAAATAATTAAGATGTTTCCAGTTATATTTAAATACCTTCCTGGGTTTTTTAAGCAATACAAATTGCAAGGATAATTTGTTCTTTCAAGGTTGGTCAAGTCTCATGACTTTTTTGTCAAAGTGCTTCTTTATGGAACAATCATTTTCCTTCCAGTAGAACTATTTGGTCCGTGCTTGCAGAAACAAAGACAATGTCTGAGTGCTATACATTTAGGTACAAGATTTCTTAACTTCACTTGTTGGGAAAGTTTTCCTATGTCCGTACAACATAGATCATAATTTTTTCCTTTTCACTTCTGCTTGGTTGGGCTGCTCTTCAGATCTCAGTCTACTGCTGGACATGTCACCTTCCCCTCAGGGACGGGATATTGTCAGGGTGGGTGGATAGTTGATGTGTCTCTTGTAGCCTCTTACACCTCAGGCATGCTTAACTGCAGTAATACAGTTCTAGGCCCAAACCATCCACATGTCACTTCCAAAACTTTAAGTTTTGGAACAGATCAGGTTTTTTATTCTCCCTGGTCCAAGGAAATTTAGAAATAGTCCTCACAGTCTGCAACTTTATGAAGAATGTTCATTTGTCTGCTCAAATCAAAAGCAATGAAGATGATACCTGGACATAAGTAGAATTTTGAATGTTGACAGTATGGTTTACCTACTGATTTGGTTTGCTGCTGGTATCGGCCAGTACTGGATGTCAGACTTTTCTAGTCCTGTCCTTTTAGAAGTGAAGCTTTTCATGGGATCTAAGCTTTTATTTAATGAATTAGAGTATATACCTATGGCTGCTAAGACCATGTCACGCAACACTGGGTACCAGTCACAGACCACCATTTGTGAGTCTGCACAGCCTGATTTGTAGCTCACTTAGTCATTCTGAAAAATATGAAAAATCCCTTTATGCAAAGCTTTGTGACCTGCTGATTTGTGAGTAATCAGTGTTACTGATTGAACAGCTTGTTTTAATCAGGAAGAGCCACAAGTTCCTAAAATATAAGAAGGGTTTAATGCAGATTTAACAATTAGTTTGAAAGTGTTTTGATGTTATGCTGGAATCTGGCCATGGTGCTGTTGTATATTGTGTTTCTCTTAACACTTGTAACCTCTATTGAAAGTCTGATATTTTTCTTTTCCTCCTCTTTAAGAGAAAATACTATGTGTTGGGAAGTGAAGGGCCTTAAAAATAAAAAGATGTTTATCTTTATTATTTCCAAAGAAAATAGTCTGTCAAACTGTGGTGGTCTGAATGGCTGAGCATTTGTTTACTCCCAGTTATGAAGTAAGCCATTTCAAAAGTGTCATATTCAGGACACACAAAGATTAGGTAAGCATCTAAGTGTGTAAGCAAATTACTTAGAATTGAGGTAATGAGATTGCACAGCAGCACAGAGTGTACCCCAGAGCTGGAGAAGCCTTTCCTGGCATTTACAAGCAGAGTAGAATTTCGGTTCCAAAGAGTGGCATCATTCTGACTTCCTCAAGAGAAAATCTTCAATAAGAGTATCTCTAACTGATATCTAAGCAACTCCTACAGTTACATGGAGACTTCGAAGTGAACAGGTATTTCTAAAATTTTGAAATATGAACATATTTGTGCATCAAAATATGTGCATTCAATACGTGCCTTGAAATTTCTGACCAGCTGTGCTGAAGCAGTTCAGAAGCATGAGCTGTTAGAATTAGAGCCAGTTTCCCAAACTTACTTCCAGGAAATTTCCTTCCCTACCTCTGCTGCCACCTTCCCAGGAGCTGTGCAGCTTGTGATCAATACGGCAAGCAATGACTCTGTTTCTTCCAGATTTGTGCCAAAATGGGCATCTGAGAGACTTGATAGTGTCGTCTGCAGAATCAGTGTTTGGCCAGGTAGCTCACCCCTGTTACCAGCTTCAGTGGATCTATAAGAACCATAAGATTAGGAAGCAAGAGTGTTTCTGTTCATCACGGTTTTGCATTAATCTTCTGGCTTACTTTTGAGCAAATAAATTATTTTTTGTTTTCTCTGCTGCTTTATTACAGATAATTAAAAAGCTCATAGAAAGGAAACAAGCTCAGATACGGAAAGTTTATCCTGGCCTTTCTTGCTTCAAAGATGGAGTACGGCAGATTCCTATAGAAAGTATTCCTGGAATTAGTACGTATCAACCTCTTTTAATGTAGAACAGAAGCAGAACAGCCCAAGAAAGGTCCAAGACTAGAAATACTAATGTAGTCACATATTTCTTTTTGATTAAAATGTAATTGTTTTGGTCTGCTGATTTTGATTTCTATGAAGATTGTTGTGTTTCCATTACAATTACTGTCTTTGAGACTTTCTCAAGGCATCCCAGGCTGATCCTCTTTTGTGTACATGTGTGTAATTTTATTTATATGTGATCCCTCTTTGATTTTTATCGCAGTGTAGTCAGCAATTTCTCTCTGGCACCACTGTTACACGCTGCATTCCTGTACAAGGATGAGTTCTCTGCTAAACGTGGACTTACAGGAAAAACAGAATTAGAACATTGAAGTATAATCTTTTGGGGGATTTTTTTCAGCAATTTATTGTGCTTTTCAGTGCTTCTCTGCAATTTATTATCTGTCCCTAGGAAATCAAATTGGATAACTTTGACATCATTATCCTTTACAGAGATTGTGGTAAAATATGTATTGAATGATTGAAAAAATGTGCATTTCATGTAGGAGTATTTTAGAATCTTTTCAGCAGACTGGAGGAAGAGGCATGTAGGAAATTGAGTGGGGCTGTAGGTAGATGGTTGTGTTATTTATTAGGAGTAACTTTTATTAAAACAAACCCATTTTACTGCAGCAGTGCTGAAATGGCTTATCTTTTTAGAGTTGCAATAACTCAGTTAATGTTTTGACCTACTGTAGTTCCCATGTAATCTCTCATGTTGTTGGTGTACAGGAGAGACTGGCTGGAAACCAAGTGGAAAAGAAAGAGGGTAAGTGCTGCACAAAGTAAAATGATGAAGCAGTTTGGAGATTCCTTTGGGAAAAGTCTTTAAACAGCGTCATTTGATATTTCCTTCCATCCGTTGGAAAATAGATAAATAATCTGCAAAGGATGAGTTCTTAAGTGGGTTTGGGTTGTTTTTCTTTGAGGGGGAGTGGGTTGTTTTTTGTTGTTTGGTTGTTTTGTTTTGATTTTTTTTTTAATTTTATTTCTTCCATAAAATGCTTGAAACTTTGGAGTTGCTTTTAGGTAAGATGCACATCATAGGAATGAAGATAAGGGATTCAAGCTAATCTTTTTGTATTCATATTTTCTTTCAAGTAAGGAGCCCAAGGACCCAGATCAGCTTTACAGCACATTAAAAACCATCCTGCAGCAGGTGAAGGTGAGTGCTGGTTCTAGTTTACCTTCTGTAAAGATTTTTTTTAAATGATTTCCAATATAGAGTTTCCATATTAGATACCATACTTTTTTCTTTACCAAAGAGCCATCAAAGCGCTTGGCCCTTCATGGAACCTGTGAAGAGAACAGAAGCTCCTGGATATTATGAAGTTATAAGGTTTCCCATGGGTAATACCATTAACATTTTTTAAGTATAGAGTTTAAAAATCTTTATAGCTGGAGACATAGCAGATAAATTGTAATCTGATTGTTTTATGTTAAAAGATAGATACTACTTGCAGCTGAATAGCTTGCAGCTCTGACGTGCCAAGAGTGCAATGCTGTCATTTGAAATTTATGACTGCTTTGTGACCTTTGTGAAGCGTCTATAGTATATACATGTGAAATCTTAATATGCCCTAGAGAGCCCTAGCAAGCTCTTAAACAGTGCAGTCAGCTAGAAACTTTTGGGACTGAGCTGGTTTATGCGAGTTGTACAAATTATGTTCTTGCGTGTGGTACCTGGTCATTGCAGATCCTACTGGTATGTGAAAAAATCTCAAGGCAAACTTTCAGGAACATCTGAACATTTGAATTGCTTTGAAATACAGACTTAAGCTTTCTAAATCACATAGAGAGAACTTTTGAAAAAGTACCACAATTTTCTAATTAAGTCTTAGCAGTTTGCTCCAATTTAAGTTTAGGAAAATGCTTCATGCAACTGATTGTAAAATAACTTTTATCTTTATTTTGGATCTGCCAAAGTTGTCTGAAGTGTTTTTTTTTCTTTATTTTTAAATCATGCAGCTATTGTTTATGCAGGATTACTTGCGAAGGGAAGTACACAACTGCTCATAACATTTTTCTTTGCTTTTGACTGCTGGGTCATATAGTTCCAATGATGATTCAGTGCTGTTCTAAACAGATGTTTGTTTTGATTTGTATTGCAGCAGACTTAAAGCTGAATCCTGCTACTCCTTCATTGTTTATGCAATACTCACCTTCATCTTTCTGATTACTGTTTCTGTACCTTTTAATGTTACTAGAGAATGAAATACAAGTTCATTGCAGGCTACTATCAATCAGTTTGTCGGAGAATGAAGATGTTTGTTCATGTTGCTTTGCATAGGCTCCTAGCCTGTGTATACCAATTTGGCTTATTGATTTTTTATATTCAACTTACCATTTCCAAATAGCAAATATATGTCTACTTTGTAAAACAGCCGCCGGCTTCCTGTATCCCTGACACGGATGTATTTTCTAGCAATGAAGACAAAGAATTGTTGACACCCTCCCATGGCAGAGTTTTCTCCATCTGCTTTTCTGAGCAGAGGCTAGATCTAGATGGCTCTTTAATCTGAACAGTGGTTACAAAGAACCTGCTGCCTGGGTTAGCAAACACGAAGTAGGAATGTTGTCTGTCCTTTCCTTGTTCAGACATATTACACTGGATGTGGGAGCAGCAGGTCTCATTTTAGGATTAAGCTGAGGTCTTTGGTTTAGTTTTGCTTTGTTCTTTCAGCTAAGGAACCTGGCGCAACTAATCCACGTTTTGATTAATGGTCAACTTCTGCTTGCTTTCTGCTCTCACTGCCAACATGCAGATAGTGTATGAAAATTGCTCAGACATAATAATTTCAATTAAAAAGAAAGAGCATTGTCTTTTCTTATGCTATCACATACAAGATACAACATTTGTCTTTACGTTTGCATACAGACTAAATTGTACAATATTTGAGAGGTATGGCTGTAGGTTTTTTTGACTACCTCCTAAGGTCAGTTCTTATGTATAAACACTTTTTTCCCCTGTTTTAAGTGCTCTTTCAGCTGCTTATTTTCAAGAAATACTTCCACCACCCCCCCCCTGCTTTTTATCTGCAATATAAAAGCTGTATGGCTGAGTGACAGATGGAGCCAAACTTTCACTGTAGTTAGAGGAGAACAGTTTAACTGACCAGCCAGGCAATGTTTGCTTTAGGGTGAGCTGAACAGCCTTCTGAGCTGGATACTGTAAGTAGACTATGGATAAATGTAGGCACTTAAATTTCAGACTTAATGAGAGCTGAATGAGCCTTTGCTTTTGCAAAACATTGTGTGACACTAGTGAATGGCAAGTTACGTATCATTGGAAGAGGTATTTGAGAGCATCCATCAAACTTTTCTTAAATAATACCCTCTTGTCAGTTTGACAGGGTTTTTCTCTACTTTACCAAAGTTAAATCTACCTTAAAAAACCAAACCAAAACACAACCAAAAATACCCACAACTATATTTTTAAATCTTAAGTTTTAAGGTTTAATTCCTTTGCCTTGGACGTCTTTAGTCTCTGCTTTCCTTGCAATACTTATTGACAGTAAGTCTTCTCCATTTCAGCTGTTTCTGTTACAGTTTCACAAAGGTGCTGCTGAAGCCTGTCTCAAGCATTGCTAAAAAAATAGTTGTTAGAGCATCTGAGGTGAGAAAAGCCAAGGCATCCAGCACACTTCCCACTACTTCTGTTCCTGTACTCCTAGAACACTTGTAATGTAGACAAAATTTTTAAATGCCTGATAAGAATTACTGGGAAAGCAACTGTGTGGAGAACGCTGAGATGATTTACTTATTTTATGGATGACTGATTTTAGTATAAAGGAAAACACTTTTTAAAGAATGTTCTGTAAATAAAGGGTTTGTATGATGCATTGAAAGCAGGAGAGATGTATTCTCAAATGACTCTTAAAAAGGGATACATAACTATAAAGTTTGAAGATGTAATTAAAATATATGTAGAGTGTGGAACAAATTTAACCTTTTTTCAAAGCTGCAGGTACTGCTTGTAGTATAGACAGATGTCTCTTCTCTGCTGTGTTTGCACAGAAGTGAGGATTTTAGGTTAATGTACATGTTTTGTGATGTTTGAATTCTTTGCTTATACATTCCTAAGGCTGCCTCCAGCAGAGCTGACAACAGCTTTGCCTCACAAAGCGGTTAGAGGAGAGTTAGGGACACCTAATACCCTCTGAAAACTCAGAGAAGTATGAGAACAGGAAACAATGATGCTTTAATCTTTTAAAGAAGAAAAATTAAACTCTACACGAAATCATTCTTACAGTGAAATACTGCTTAGTTCAGGGGCTCGATTGCTATTGGAGCTACAAAAGGGACCGCACCTCAGATGAAGGCAATTAGGAATTCCAAATCCTAGCTTTGCCATTTCATGTTAAATGGCAAGTCAGTCTAAAGGGATATTGCATACAAAAAGTATTTGAATCAAACGCTGTTAATCTATTTTTCTTCTGTACAGATCTCAAAACAATGAGTGAGCGACTCAAGAATAGGTACTACGTTTCTAAGAAATTATTCATGGCAGACTTGCAGCGAGTCTTTACAAATTGCAGAGAGTACAACCCCCCTGAGAGTGAATACTACAAATGTGCCAATATACTGGAGAAATTCTTCTACACAAAAATTAAAGAAGCTGGATTAATTGACAAGTGACACTGTCTTTTTTACAACCAAATAGTGTGCCTACTTTATGGGCAGGGGAAGCCGTTATATGTCTGAGTTGTGGGACTTTAAGGTTTGAAGAAACTTCTGTTTTAATACCTAGCACTTTTAAAAACCCTTTTAGTTTTGCAAACATGTATTATACTGAAGTTACAAAAATTATTTTATTAAAATGCTTTATAATGTATTTAATTACGGAAAATTTCTTTTGTGTGCCCATTACCGTATGTTCATAAGAAGTTTATCAGCTACAGCCTCAGAAACCCCACAAAACATGTGGGAAATTGCACATGTTTGGGAATATGAAGAAAATTCCCAGGCAACAGATGTTATCGCTTACCTAATGCAGTACCTATTTGAGAAAGTTTTATTATTTTTTTTCCAGTAAAAAATAAAATAGTAAGGGAAAACAGCAGTTGGGGGGGTTTCTGAAACACTTGTTTCTTTGTAGAATCTTTTTATAAGATATTATTTTTTAAAAGAAACACTCAGCTGGTTGAGAAGCTGTGAGAGGAGAGCAGCCAGTTCTGAAAAAGGACTGCCTGTAATCTTTGATAGATGGAAGTTTTTCTATTCATTTTGGGTTTTGATAAATATTTTACCTGCAAATTGTAATCTTGTAACCACTATTTAAAAAAAAAAAAAAAATCTGGCTAGATGTGTAATGTTATAGTGACTTGGCTTATGCAGGACATAAGTACCCAAAATAACTTCAGAGAATCCGATTCGCATATACTAGACAATTTCAAGTGGCTTAGTAGAGTTAAGGTTTTGATGCACTTCTTGATCCACCCTATTTACTACTCTTCACTGATAAATTCTTTAGATTATTCAGCAGAGATAAGGCTGTTGTACACAGAAGAAGTCAACATGTGACAGCTTCTAGCTTATATACTTGGCTCTGTGGTAAACTGGATTTTCTACCAAGCTTTATTATAAATGCTTATTAACTGTGATTATTTAGACCCAGAAACATATTAACATTTTACAACTTATGTTAGTATATCTTCAAATTGAGCACTTATATATGTAATATATATATTTTGCTGCTTACACTACATTTAAGAGGTACACCTAACTTCCTAATGGAGATCAGTACAGGCCAAAAAGTTGTCACTTGACACTTTCTAATTAGAGTTTGTAACTGTAAATTATAATTGCTTTTGTGAAAAACAGATTTAACTTTCATTCTTGGTGTTTTATATTTACAGATGTTACACTGGTAAAATCCAATAGTTATAAGACTGAAAAAAACCCCAATCCTGTGCTGTGTCAAAGAATATATTCCTGCAAAATGCCTGTGCAATGCTAAATCACAAGTTGATTCAGCAAGTAGATGTCAGGAACTACCTGGAAGTAGTAAATGTGGTACACGAGGTATTCAAAATGTTAACACTAGACTTGCCATAGTGTTTTGTATGAGATTAGTCTGACCTACATTTGGATCTATAACAAAGGTACAGTGAGTATTTTTTTTTTTTTTAATAGCCAGTACTGGATGCTATAATCCTGTTTTGTAGATTGGGCCTACAGATGCACCTGTTAAGCTTGGTATCCTGTGAAATTTTGTTATTTTCAGAGTAGATTTTCTTACCGTCTTTCAATCAGATTGTCTCTTCTATATTGAAACATTTGTTTTCTAATTTAAGAATTAATATTTTCTTAGATACTGTGCAATAAAGTTACGGTAGGATATGTGGTTTTGCAAATGCTCTAACAGCTGATGAACTTTACATTTGTAAAATTAATATATTGTATTGGTACAGAATAGTTTTAAATTATATATGTATAAAACCCTATTTATTTTGGTCTCTTTTTTATTAATTAGCTCTTGCACTACAAATATACACACTGAAGCAATTTCACAACTGAGCACAGCAGATCTGCAAGAGTGCAGTCAGTGCATCTTCCAGGTATGCTAGAAAATACGCAAAAAAGCCTCCAAGTTCACTGGGAGCACGGCATGCTAAGCTGAGAATTCAGTGTGGAAAACTGTGACCGTTCCAAGTAGCATTCCTAGCTCTGTACTAGCTGTGAGCTACAGTGCTGTTACTCCTGTCTCCTCAACATCTCACAATTCTTTGACTGAGCTGTTGAGAAGTTTTTATTTTTCACCTCAAAGTATGCTTACGCTGTTTTATTTTTGTCTACTACTGTCCTTTATTCACAAGACCCCATAGACATAGGAGTAGACTACAGTCCATGTTGAGCTTGTACTTACCTGCTATCACCATGATGTTACTCAGATGGTACACTTATTGTTCATACCATAAGGAAACCCTGCACCTGTCCTGTACCTGACAGACAGTTGGAGAGTATGAAGAGAATTTTTTTTTTTTACCCTATCCACTACGATTCAGTCCTGTGCCACATCCTATGAAAGTGTACTGTTCAGAGGGTAGCAAAGAGCAGTCAAAAGAGGCTTAGCCGTTTTCCTGGATACTAGGAATATCAGTATCAATAGACTGAGACTCCTTCCTGAGCTAACTCAAATCCAAAAAAGCCCCAGACCCACCCACCCCTGCCTTGGGCTGCTCTGCTATTGCATTGGTCTTTTTCTGTCCCTGATAAACAGCTGTTCCAGATTTGTTTGCTGAAAGAAAAGAGAACCTGAAGTTAAATCATTCTGCCACAGTTCCTATAGTACTAGAGTTTCAGAATGAAAAATTATTTCAGTTCTGACATTCAAGGCTGTGTTGTGAACAAGTATTTTCAAAGACTCAGTAGCTGCAGCTTTTATTATTACTGTTGAGAGTGTGATATAAGAAGTTACCAGGAGAACAGTAATTAACACTATACATTTTTATTTCAGAAAGGGAAATTTAAGTGGGACAGGCGAGACAGGCAATCTTGTACTTTCCTGTTATTTATTTTGAAAATAGCTTTCCTCTTTGTATTTATATATCCATTAATATTTCCTAAACTTTTCTAAAGCAAAGAAAAGCTGGTCTGAGCACTCTGCAACCTTGAAATGGTGCTGGACAATTGAACACAGTGTTCTTCCCATGGCAAAGGGATCTTTAAGGTTGTTTCCAACCCAAACCATTCTGTGATTCTTCTAGCACCCTGCCTATTATGGTACAAACAGTACCAGTTCAGATGTAGCAGATCTTCCTCTGGTAAAGGCACTTGGCAAAGCAGGGCCAAAATTCTTGTGAAGTCCTATAATGGCAGTTTACTTTAGACTCCCACCAAAGCAGAGCACTCTTCACCAACCTTCACATCTCCAGACAGGAACAAAGCAAAGTTAAGTTGGTTATAACTTGCATTCGTAGCAGTACCAACCAACCCCAAATTGCTACTTTTGAGAGCTCCAGCTACATCAAATTACAACTGGTAATCTTGCTTCTCAGCAATGCTTATGCCACATAAGATGAGGAAGGAATACGCTGGCTTGCAGTATGCCTACTGCTGACATTGCTACCCTTGAAGCAAATACAGAAACTGTACAAGAAGAACACCAGTCAACTCCCAGCTGTTTCCAAACACCAAGACATTTATTATGAACTTCAATATGAGACTACAACCATTACATGAACAAGATCTCTACAAACATTGTTATTAAAACCAACCAAACAAAACACAACATTTGATCTTAAATGCCTAATGCCACCTACTGTGAGATCAAACAAGGTATAAATTATAAAATTACATTCACCATCTTCTCCATCAGATATTTCTGATACAAATCTACACGGCAGGGATCCCTCCTCTCAAAAAAGTTTGAATGGAATCACCTTAATTAGTTATAAAAATAGTCTTAAAATTTTAATCTTAAAAACAAGTCACTGGATTAAAAACAAAACCCCTTAGTTTTATATCCTTAATATTATACACATAGAAATAACAACATTTGTGTAACATATTGGGCAACAATAACTTCCTGGATGAAAAATTTCTTCATGGAGTGAGCATAGTTTTGCTATCATGACTACAAGTCTCTACAACCACCATCAAATTTGTTGTTTTTTGACAGAGATTCTTTCTTAAGAGAACTGCGTTTAGCATCTTTTTTCTTCTTGAAAATTGGAGAACTAAGAAAATTTGTGTCTGTAAATGGATCTCCTCTCCTGAGTTTCCTGTTAAAAAAAACAAACAAAAAGCAAAATTGAGTTTTGTTCCCCATATCACTTAAAACATTAACTTTCAGCTAGTAAGTTCAACTACACGTGAAGTGTTTCATATTACTAACATCAGGCCTCTCTTTGAGTGTTTTCTTAAGAACTTATTTCCAATGTTTAAATAATCCCCTCAAACCCTCCATTTGATGGAATATCATGAACTTTATATCAAACTGGAAAGTAAGACACCTACCCTGCAATACTTGGTTCTTTATAGTTTACAGTAAGAGTACAGCTTCGCTTGCGTTTTGAAGATCCTGGTCCTTCATCTTCCGGGGCAGTAGTTGCATTCCCAGTGCTGGGGAGCAATGAAGTGGTATTGGTAACATCATAAAGATGACCACCAGATGGCTCAGAAGGCTGCCCTGGGAAGAAATTAGGACACTTCAGATGATTCAGTCAAGCTAGCTTAAAGGAGAATGTCAGTGAACATAGTAGATGTGAAGTAACTCTCAGCTATAACTATTCTCTTCATCTTTCCGCTTAAGAATACATAAGAGGATCAACAAATATTCAGGATTTTAATTTGGAAAAATAAATTAACACTAAGCAGTGCCAGGCAAAGTGTGATTTGTTATTCTGTTTCTCAATTTATACTCTTATTCTCCTCTTTTTCCTCAGCTTTAATACATCAATAAACACATCTAAAATAGAGTATTAATTCATTGTTGACCAATTTCTTAAACAAAATATATCTTGAATTCCAATTTCTGGTGAGATAAAGAAAAAAAAAAAGGCAGACAAAGCCATTAGATTCATTCTTCTAACATTATTATGTTTGTATTTATTAAAAAAAAAACCTAAATCCCTTAAACAATGTTATCTCTCAAGGAAACAACACCAATTACAGAACACTTTCTATACTTACTAATAGGCTTGTCACTTGATTTCTTGTTTTCAGTCTCTTTTTCATTATGGAGTTTCTGCTCATGCTGTGCCAAACATCTTTTAGACCTTGGCTTTGCATGGACTGGCAATGCATCTTTCTTGTCCGCTGAACTTTTCCTTTTTTCTGATTTACCCTTGTAAGGCTCATAGAGGCTATCATCTGAATCTTCTTCAGTATCACTCAACTCAAAGGTATTACTTTCAGATAAGTTTTCTTTGTCATCCACACCAGTATCTGTGTCATTCACCTTATTTTGTCGAAAAGGTGTAACATGAACACGCTCTTCAAAATGAAAGTCATAAGCATCACTGGAGCCACCCAAGAAATCCAAATTTTCTTTGGAAGCCTCTTTACCCTGTCTTGTTTTTGGTCTTTGTCTGGATGTATTTTTTGGCTGTTTCTGTTTTCCATTCTGACACTTCTCCATCCTTACTTGAGAGTCTTCTCTGCTTTTACACTCACGTTGTTTAAGATCAGAATTATTGTTTAATTTGAACTGTGCAGTTTCAGAATCTATCCATCTCAACACCAGCTCTGAACCCACCCTGTTTTCATTCAACTGAGAAATATCTGAATTTATGTTTTCTACAGTACACTTCTCCAGACCTTCCTCAAGTCCAATTTCATCCTGTATAGAAAGCTCTTTTCTCGAATCAGGTGCTTCTGAATGGTCCAAGACACGACAGCAAAGGACATCGTAATTTCTCATCTTTGAATAGCTGGTGGACATGCTTTTTGGTAACACATTACCAAGTCCATCTTCTTCACTTGAAGAAGCATTTTCCAGCTCTGACCCTACGTTGTCCAGATGAAAACCAGATGTTTGTCCTTGTAATTGAAGAGAAAAGGTCATATTAAAACTAAATAGTAACAACCTGTTAAGGTTTTGTGCAAATTCTGAACCTGTCAAAAATTAAGACTGTTCTTAGAATTTTCTCTATGGATTTGTTGTATAAACAGGTATCTGGCAATCAAGATAAGCTCTGTTTAATACAGCTTCCAGACAGAAAGCAGTTAAGTATACTACATGAGGATTTTCCTCTAAATTCTGTTTGGAAAGGTTGTCTACAGGTCATTTATTTTTCCAAGTATTTTGCTTTGCTAACAATTGTTGATTTCATAAATGATAATGCATGACTAAAGATGACTTTGTTGAATGGTTTGGTAGATAATGAAACTAGATTGCAGGTATATAGAAGAAAAAAGCATTTTCAAATTCCTCCCCCATTTTGCTAGGCATCTTCATTCAAAAAGTTTACCAGTTGCCAACATTCATATCTAACCCTATTATCATTACTAAGTGGAAAATTACTTGACAGTTACTTCAAAAAGCATTAATTACATTTTATACTCACACATTTTTTTTTCCTGATTCAGAATAGAGTAATGTCTGATACTTTGATTTAGTTACCTTTGCCTGGAACTACTTTGAATAAGGAAATGGCATTGTCAGATTTCTTGCGGAGTTGTGACACAGAATGAGCCAGCTTATTTCTATTCCTGTCAGCCTCTATCCCACTTGGACGTACTCGATCACCTCCATCAGCACACTGTAGAGGTCCTCTAGAGAAAATATCAAAGGCAGTATTTACTGAATAGCAATATATTTTATGACAATGAACTACTTCATTACATTGGAATTCTTCCCTTTTTCCAGTCAGAAAATTAAGCTTACTGCAATAGAATTTTCAAATATAAGTAGATATTAATAAGAGATACTTACACCGAACGTATTTGTCCTATGACATTGGAACTATTTTCAAGAACTGAAGAAAGCACTCTCCCATTCTGTCAAAAAAAAGAAAACCTTAATGTGACTAAATAGCTGAAACAAGCTTGCACCACATACAAATTTTAGACAACAGCCAAGTTACCCACAGAAGGGCCAAAGAGGCCCTTGACTCTTTTTCTTTCCAGCTAGCTAACACAAAGTGCTGTGGGATCTCACACACTCAGCTCCTGCAAGCCAGCACATTCGTCACCAGACCAATCATACAGACAGCAGACAAGGGAAGGAAATGCGAGGACGGAACAGTGAACAAGACACAAAACCATAAAAAAATCAGGGTGCCCTTACCACCTCGTAGCAGAGCCTCAGTCCCACTACCAGCCTACTACACACCTCCAGAGTGTGGGCACCATGTCATACTGGGAACTGTGGGACTAGTTGTACCTCCAAACTAAGGCTCAAATCTCAAAAACTATGCGCATCTATGCTGGAAGGAGTAAGGAGAAGAATTAACAGAAATCCTGCCCCTCAAGAGGAAAAGGTACTTACTACATGCATGGAACACAAATTCTTTGCTGGGCCAAGGAGATCAATTGAGTCCAGTAAATTCTGAGAAACTTTTGAAATTATCTCATTCAAGGCTGACAGTTGATTCTAATGGACAGAAGAAGGAAAAAATAACACTGTTGCTGTCCTACTCTAGTATCAACTACCAATGTAAAAACTTCTTATCAGTATTAAAAGATGACTAAGTCCTGAAGATACCTGTGTCAGGTACCTTCAACTGCGATTAAAAAAAAAAAAATTCACAGAAGATAAATTTTAATTAAAGATGAAAGAGTAGCCAGAAAAAAAAATTTAGTTAATTACCAGATTAGGTGAAAATACGAAAAAAACTTGTTCTATATATTGAGTTAATTTTTTATGACACATTTCAGATCATAAAGATATCAGTCAGTGGATTGGTGCAAATTCTGATGTTCATCATAAAGTTAGTGTTAAAAAAATACCTCAACAAGTCCTTGTGCTTGCTTGAACCTAAGAGTTCTCTGCAAGTCAAACATCTGAATCTTCAGATCTTGATACTCTCTACTTAAATGAAGAATGGTAGCCTGGGCATCCTTCAGTTTGAGCTTTTCTTCTTGCAAAGCCTGAGCTAGAGCTCTGTTGTTTGCTTGGATGCTCGTCATTTTCTTGCATGTGTTGGCTGCAACAGAACAGTGAGTGTTTCAACTTGGCTTAAAAAAAAATAATTATGAAAACTATTAAGATATTTAAGCATCTTACTTGCTATTTTGCACTTTACAGCAGAGATCTGGCTAGTTTTACCGAACTTTGCCAGTTTCTCATTTCTTTTCTGTTTCATTCGTTCTTTTATATCATCCAGACTGTCTTTGAAGGGTTTTTTCAGGTGTTCAGCCATCTTCTACCTTTAGAAATACAAAGGGTGAAGAACTCATTAAGCTGGTGTTGCACAATGCTCTCCAACGCCAAAAGAAAAGGAACAGAGAAACATGAGTAGAGCTTTTTCAAAAGCATTTTTTTCAAGCGTTTTCGAAACGGTATTGGCAGCACGGCTACTGTC